TTTACCTTGGCTCTTCTCAACTCATGAATAACTCAACTCAATATAAAGCAATAAAACACATGCAATATATGTAAAACTTGTAAAACAGTGGAAAACAACTTAGTTCGTTAAAGAAATGCAATAACAAACTCAACTTTACTTATATGATAAAGTAATATAGTTTCTGTGGGAGATTATCTAACCGACAACCACCACTATGAACCTAAGTGGTGATACAGCGTCTTGCCTACGCTGCCATAACTGTCCTATACTTTGTCGTCATATAGAACACCTTAACTAAGTGGATCCACTAGTCTATGCTAAAAGCATCTTAAAGAGTCATCTAAAAAGTATGGTCATTTACTACCTATGATGGCTACATGGTTTATGGAGACTTGAGTTAATATGAACTCGCATCCCCATATCGGTGCTCAATACTACTCCCAATATATTCTTAGCTCATATGTTTTAGAAACAAACCTCTTTCTTTGATTTGAGATAATTACTCAAAACATAGCTTAAAAGCTCTCTTGGAATCGATGTTCCCTTTTCTTGCTATTTGGGAATACTTAGCTCCCTTATAGCTTTTTGAGCAATGAACTCAACTCTTTACTCTTTGCTTAACTTGAAACTTAGGTCTTAAAACAAAGTTAAAATGTTTGTGGAAGACGTTTGAAACTTTAAAAACACTGTTTTGATTTGCTTCTTAACTTTTAGACTTGACTCTTAACTTCTCTTGACTTTGATCTTAACTTTCCTTGAATTGGATTATGGATTAAAGGTTCATGATCTCATGTTTATGGATGATTTCATGATGTTTAAATGTACCTTAGAGTGTTGGAATCAACTAGAAAACATAGGTACATTGCTAAGGAACAAGTACGAAAAGATGGGGAACGAATAGGGAGAACTGGCATCCCTAGCGCTCTGAGAGGCGCGGGGCACCAGCCCTAAAAGTTCAGAGAAGAAGTTGGGGCGGTCTCGCTGGCGCGGTGCCCCAAGGGTGAAAGTTTAGAGCCCCTTTTGGGGAGCGTTGGCTGGCGCGACGGCCCACCCCTATCCCCAGGTTTTTGACAACTTTTCTTGCTCGTTTTTCATCTCTAAACCCTCTAAACTTCTATGGTTCTTTCTCCAAACACTTAGAATCATCTGTACCCTCAATATACATCAGATTCTACTCGAAAAACACAACTAACAACATGAATCAATCTCAAGAAAACTCCAACAACACAACCCACAAGAATTCAAACAAAATTCATCAAGAACTCAAGGATGTACTTTCAAATCTAATAACTTCGCTGAAATTGAATCATGATTGGTGCGTGGGTGAACTAACCCAACGCTATGTGATCTCACATACCTTGTAGGGATCACCCCAGACGAAATCCACAAGCTAAATCCTTACAGACGACGATCTTTGGCTCTTTTCTCCTTTCTTCTCCTCTTGCGTTCTTCTCCAAAAACCCTAACTCTATTTTTCAAAGGCGTAAACTGAATCCTATCAGTTTAGACCGTAAAAATATTACAAAAATGAATTAATTAAGTTGGGGAAGGAAAAGACCAAACTACACTTCTAAAATCCGAATTGGACTTTCCTTATTCCAACAGCCCAACTTTCCAAGGGCGTAATTCACTCATACGAACTCGGCAGCATTGGAAAGATTATTCCAAGATATTTCCAACCATATCTGGAAGTACACCTAACTCATTGATACGCTTAAATTACACATCTTTTCAGAAGCTTAAGTAATCGTATCACGTAAAGAACCCAACTTGTAGGTTGGGGTCGATCCCACGAGGAATATGGTTTAGACTTAAGTTCAATAACGATTATATTCGTTTAGCCAATGTATTTCCGAGACAAATAAGTAAAAAGGGGGGTTTGTGTAACAAATTTTTGAAATTATGAAAGTAATTAGTAAGCAAGATTTAAACTTTCGTTGTTATCAAATTGAGAAAGAAACTATGGCGTATGTGTTCCCCATAAGCTCATAACTCCGTAATCCTAGTAATAGCAATCCCTTCCTAGTGTATTACATGCAAAGCGATAAGTTATGTATCTCTAAATCTTTGGTCCGGCATCTAGAGAATTTCACCCCACACCTTGGTCCGGCTACGTGTGTATAATTTACTAATCCTTACTATTACCTCATAGTAGATGTCACATCGATGTATGGCTTAGTTTTCACCCTCGCACCAATTGACATTAATTCTATTAGATAGTATCACACTAAATCTATATTGATAATTCTTTTCTTATTAACTACCTCCTTGGTCCGGCAAGTAGCAACAAGGCGAGTTCTAACGTTGCGCACCGTTAAAAAGACTTCTAGACGAAAGGATTATCAATGCATCCAAAACACTATTTGGGAATTACTTAGTTACTATTCATACTTCATTAATCGCTCATGGTTCCCACAACCCTAGTTGTGGATTTAGTTACCCATATTAGCAAGAAAACAATTCATAATGTTTGAAGAATAAATCATGAACTTATGTGGTAGAGTAGAATAATCCCAGAATTTCAACTTGAATTTCAAAGTAAAAATCACCGAAACGTGCTTAGGAAATTAAGAATTGCTAAAGTTGCAAGTTAATCTCCCAAGCCAAAAACAAAATAATAAAGTCTAACTCCCAAAGACGAGGTTTACATACCCTATTTATAGAAAACAAGTCCTAAATTAAAAGGGAAACAAAGTAAGGAAAGTTTGTTCAGGCACGCGTCTTCATTCCACGGGAATGACTCACGAATCCTCAATGGATCTACGGTCCGTGAGTCCCTTCCGTCAGCCAGGACTTAGAAAATATTTCAGCTTCCAAAAATCAGCTTCTCTGAAGCAAACGACGGAACACCAGTACGGACTGTATATCTCCAAAAATCAGGTATTGGAACCCTCACAATCACATTATACGGTTCAGCAGTACAGTCTGTAGATCAATCTATGGACCGTCAATGGTCTCTGTGGTTCCACACTTGGTCAAATTCCCTGATTCTCCTTCTATGCCTTGCCCTGCTGATCTACGATCACCATATACGGAGCGTCAATGGACCTACGGTCGGTAGACCATATCCGTAGATGCCCTTTTCTACATTTCTTTCAGTTAACTCTTTACTTCCGCACCTAAACATCTTTCCTACAAAACATGATACAAACACATAAAAACCAATACAAAAAGGCCATAGACACACACAACTCTTAAGTGAAATGTATTAAAAATACCATAAACTCACGGTATATCAACACCCTCAACTTAAATTCGTTGTTTGTCCTCAAGCGACGTACTAAGACTCTACACGACACTTTGTATAGAAGCAAGCATTTCAAGCACAAGCAATCACATAGCTCTCTACCCCGACTCACTTCTCGAGTGCAAATCTTTTCTCTCAAACTCAACAAGCTAACTTGTGCGGATCCAAACATGACAAAGACCGGCCAACCAACACACAACATACATTGTTTTACTATCACCAAGGTACCAACTTTCCGACAATGTAACTAGTGCCCTTACTTCAAATGAAATCCCTTTTTCACACAATAAATTTGATTTTGAGTACAAGGATTTATTCAACACTCACACTCAGAAGTAACTTCAAGTACAATTAGTACTCAAACCATAGGTTTGCCCTTATTTTCACTACTTAGACTCTCCAAACTAGGTTCTAGGATCACTATAGGACTTTCTTGGCTTGTAACATAGGCTCAGGGTCAGGTGTGGTACATTTGGGTACGTTTTAGTGATTTTCTGCCCTCCTTGACATTACATTAGGCTTTCTACCTCTTTTTGCCCTATTTTTGACATCCTACCATTTTACCTTTTTTCCCTTGATTCTCTTCAACCATGGATGTGACTTTAGACTTTGTAGCTCTTTATTTTTCTCTTTCATCTTTTTCATGCGTTTTATTCTTTTCTTTAGCTTTCAACAAGTCACATCCTTTCCTTTCTTTTCTTTTTCCCTTTTTTCAACATCAAACTCTTTTCATACCCATTTTTCTTTCTGTTTCCTCTTTCATAGCCACCGTCAACTTATGGATTTTCCATTGGTTGAAGTGCACATGTGATCCCTTAAAGAATATACATCCAATAACTATAGTGATCTTTCACGCTTCAAAGCTTTAATTTCTTTATTATTTTTCTTCTAACAAATAGTCGATAAATTTGAACAATTATAATACCAACCAATAATCACTTGTTTGTACTTTTCAGACTTATAGTTTCTATACTATATAACCAATACTCCCTCCGTCTCATATTAGATGAACATTTTACTAAATATATTTGTCGTATACTACTTGATCACTTACTATATCAAAATATAATTAATTATTTTTTTTCTATTTTAACCCTACAATTAATATGAGTTTAAACAAATTTTGAAGATCCAATTTTTTTTCCAGGAGGCTAACTAATATGAACAAAGGAAAAAAGGTAAAATTAATCAATCTATTAATGATTTCTTAGTTACGGTATAAAATAAAAAAATGTCCATCTAATATGAGACGTGAGAGCATTATTCACTTCCCAAAACAATTAATATTAATTTTTTTTTAATTTTGTAAAATAATAAATTTCTGCTTTTACTCACAATCAACTACTATAATAAAGACATGTTGCCTGCATTTTTAATGTGAAAATAATCAAAAATAAAACACGATATTTAAAAAAAAATAGAAAAAAGGTCAAATTGCCACGTGTCTTTAAAAGACTTGAATGGATTTGTCGGTTGTTCTACCAGAAATACCCCCAAAAGAAAACTAAACTTTCACTTTAGGAAATTTTCGTAACCACTTGCGTTTGAAAATAAGGAAATAAAGTAACTTGAAAATTAGTAATTAAGTAACTTTAGTTAGTTCAATTACGGTTATAGTAGTAATTTAGGAAATAAAGTAACTTGAGTTTGTTAAGTAATTTGAGTTTTTTCCATTAGGGTAATAAGATGTGTATAAATAGATAACTATCTTTGTTTAGACATCATAATTCACATAATTAGTATAGCTAGGTTAATTCTGGACCAAGAATCAATGTCGAAGCAAATGGGAATACGTTTTCATCCTACTGATACGGAGCTAATCAACTATCTTAAGAGGTTTTTCAAAGGCGAATTATCATTGAATCAACAATGTCCTATCCAGTTTGCGGATATATATGGAGATCAACCACCATGGGAGATATTTGGAGCTAATTGTGAAGAGAAGTTTCGTTACTTTATTACTCCTTTGAAGAAGCGGAAGATTAAAGATAAAAGGTTTTGTCGAACTTGTGCTAAAGGGACGTGGAAAGGGCAAACCGGAGAAGATCTTATAAGGAGAAATCGTATGGGTCCTGTGGTAGGGTTTAAGAGAAATTTCAAGTTTGAAACAAGTGAGTGTGGCCAAAATAAAACTTGGTTGATGATAGAATATCGTGTTGCGGATAGTTTCTTTAAGGAAAACAATCATATTGTTAAAGAAGATTTTGTAGTGTGTCGAATCAAGAAGAAGCTATCGATGGATAAAGAGAAGAATGTGGATCATGTTATGGATGCAGAAGATGGAGATGTTGCGGGGGTTATTGATCCTATGTTGCTGCTTGAACCTAATGATAATAACGACTACTCCACAACGGAAGATCAAGTTAGAGTTTGTGAGGCTACAACTTCCGAATATGATGTTCAAAACAGTAGTACAATGGAGAAGAGAGGGACAACGTTGGAAGTACAAGAAGGCCACATAGTTGATGATATTATTAGAAGTGAGGAAGATATGTATACAACATTGGAGGACATCCTTGTTGATATTCCTGATGATTGGTTGCAACATTCATTAGTTTGAAAAGAAATTGTATATATAGTTCATTATTAATATTTCTTCATGCAGCAAGAATTGTGCTAACCTGTTTTCATATTTCTCTTCGTATGTCTATGCTGTCTCTTTTTTTTAGTTTAATCCTAGCTCCATATAATTAGTGGGTACAACGAATTAAAGAAGTAATATATTACTTTGATCGATCTGGAGATTTATTTGAATGTTGTTATTTCTGTGTTGGAAGAGAACCTTTACTCTTAGAGTAGGAATTCATAAAACTGATATTAGTTGTGTCTCAAAAGAAATTGTGATTATAAATATTGAGCAACAAGGTTGTTAATATTTTCCTATAGCCCAATAGGTGAATGCATGATATATTTAAATCTTTTCAATCAATCCAAACATAGATATTTTTAACCCTTTTCCGTTTATAATTAAATTGGAACAAGTGATTTAACAACTTTATTCTCATCACAAATGATGACTTGTTTATTCGATGTCTATCCATTAGTATAATTATTGTAATTCATTAATTTCCATCAATTAGTATATATTATGCAACGTCAAAATAAAGTCATGAAGAAAGCAAGGTAACGGTTAATGTTTCAAGCCAATTTGATGGACCAAGAATTTCAAGTTTGGTAAATCAAGTTAAATAAGAGAAAGGGTTCTTCAAAAAGTGTATGTAAGCTAAATTAATAAGCTAAATCATTGTTGTAATGTACATTTTAAACTATATTTTTATAAATTGTACTTCTGAAATAGTCGTATAAAATTAAGTAATTAATTAGAATCAATGTCGAAGCAAATGGGAATACGTTTTCATCCTACTGATAATGAGTTAATCAACTATCTTAAGAGGTTTTCCAAAGGCGAATTATCATTGAATCAACAATGTCCTATCCAGTTTGCGGATATTTATGGAGTTCAACCACCATGGGAGATATTTGGAGCTAATTCTGAAGAGAAGTTTCGTTACTTTATTACTCCTTTTGAAGAAGCAGAAGATTAAAGATAAAAGGTTTTCTCGAGCTTGTGCTAAAGGGACGTGGAAAGGGCAAACCGGAGAAGAACTTATATAAGGAGGAATTGTATGAGTCCTGTGGTAGGGTTTAAGAGAAATTTCAAGCTTGAAACAAGTGAGTGTGGCCAAAATAAAACCTGGTTGATGATAGAATATAATGTTGCGGATAGTTTTTTTAAGGAAAATATTCACATTGTTAAAGAAAATTTTGTAGTGTGTCGAATCAAGAAGAAGATGAACTATAAAGAGAAGAACGTGGATCATGTTATGGAAGCACAAGATGGAGATATTGCGGGTATTATTGATCCTATGTTGCTTGAACCTAATCATTATAACGACTACTACAATGGAGAAAAGAGGGACAACGTTGGAAGTACAATAAGGCCACCAGAGTGATGATATTAGAAACGATGAATTTCAGGAAGAGATGTATAGAACATTTGAGGACATTCCTGATGATTGGTTGTAACATTCATTCGCTCAACAAGATATATAATACACAGTTCATTAAATGGATTATTCAGTTGAATAAAAATTGTATATATATAGTTCCATTTTAATTTGCCTCTATACATGTCGATGTTCTGATTATTGATATGTTCTTCATGCAGTAAGAATTGAGCAAGCCTGTTTCAATATTTATCTCTTATTTCTCTTGCTATGCCAATTTTACCAGAATTACATGTAGAAGAGCAATTCGTGTTTAATTTAAAACCAACATTAGGAGGACAATGTACTAATTACTATCAAATAATTAATAACAATAGTATTTAGTTCCTCTGATAGTATATGTAATTTTCTAGTCAAACGGGTAACATGTAGTATCAACAATATAAAATTTGTGTAGTAGTAATAATAATAGTATTTGCATTCCCAAAAATTAAAAAAAAAAACTTGAAATAGAAAAATACATGTACGTGTAGATATGAGCGTGACTTTGATTGAGAGATAATTAATATTATGAACGGAAGGTGATCTATGGATTCCCAAGTTTTAGCTACAATAAAATACCAAACATCGACTTCATCTTGGCTATATAGCTAAAATTTGCCTAATTACGCGTTGTTGTTATAGTTTTAGTTGACGTAGATATTCTTATTTGTACATTTCGCATGCTTTTATCAATTTATACACTTCGGGATTCAATTATTTTTTTGGTTAAAACGAGTAGCAATTCGATTGGAAAGATGGTAAACAATCCCCTAAATCACGAAATAATATCTCATTAGTGTTACATACCAAATATGACTTCCTCCGTATCAAATACACAATTCTTTCTGGCTTCATGATATCGATGAGTGTAATTAAAAAAAATCAAATGTTTCTTCGTTCATGATACAAAAGGTATACGATACATTGAATTCATGTCTTTTTTTGTGTTCTAAATCAATATCGAATTACTTTTAGATGAATTATGTAATTTTTTGGAATTATTGAAGACTGATTCATAGTATGACCTGGTCAATTAAGTTTGTTAGTAGTGTCATATATTCGAGACCCATAATTAATGTTAAATAATTATGCATAAAAAGGTATTTTGAATTTCATATGATTACCTATACTGACTCTTGCTTATTTCGACTTGTTATACAAGTATATATATAATAGAGTGCAACCTAACCACCTGAAATTATGAGGAGGTGTGAATTGTAAAAAGATGTTGTGTTTACAGATTTTATATTCAGACAATTGCAACAAAATTGTGCTAGGAAAAGATGATGTTAACAAAATTCACATAGGAGGGCATAGTGTGCCAGCACTTATCTAATATTTCATTTAATTATATTGTGCACAAAAAAGAAGGAACCAAAGTTTTTAAAAATATATAATAAGTTGTGATATGACTATTGTTTATGGTCTTTGGCAGTATGAATTGTTTCCCTTCTCACATTAGTGATGTTCCTGTTATTTTTGCACAAGATGTAATTTGCAGTGATATGCTAAGGAAACATTAAAACATGCTCATCGTTCCGGACCAACAACATCAACACAACCAACAACGACCACATTTTAAATCATTACAACTACTCGACCCTCATACGAAATCATGCATTGTCCACATTGCATCACAAAAATCATAAAGAGAGTTCAAGATTGGAATGTAAGGATCCATGCACTGTAACATCCCGCCTTAGAAAGAGCTAAATTTAGAAAGAACTAATTTGGAAAGAGCTAATTTGAGATTTGTTCAAGTTAAGCTTAAGTTGTGAGTTTTGGATCAACTTCAAACGACCATATCTTTAGTACAGGATGATTTAGGTGACCCATAGGATATCAAATGAAAGGTCCTTGAATCCTCTTTCAAAAGTCACCGAGTTTGCTAAATTTCAAGTTCGGATGACGGAGATATGCTTGTTTGAAGTCAGCCTGTCCAGTTAAGGAAATATACCCGAATTGATGATGGTATTTTGGTCTTTTCCTTACCTCATCATCTTTAAACGTTTTTAGTAATATTTTAGGGTTCTAAACTGATTTGGGTCAGTTTTCACAATCCAAAAATACGCTTAGGGCTTTGAGAGGAGTTCAAGAGGAGAAAAGAGGAGAGGCTCAAGGCGTTCATCAAGATTCTTGATATTTGTCAAGGAATTTCGCCAAGGATTTGATCCCTAAGAGGTATGTAAGTTCTCATAGTGTTAGGTTCGTTCACTCACACGCCAATCATGTCATTTTATCCGTAATTTCGTTCTTGAGGTTGAATGATTTGAGTTATTGATGAGTTTTCTTGAAGTTTCATTCGCTAATCGTTTATGATGAGTTTGATGAGTTATTGAGATAAATGTTATAAGTTTGAAGGTTGTTTTTTAGTAGATTTTTGTGTACTTATGTTGGGTACTCGAATCTAAGTGGGTTTGAAAGAAATCATTCGATTTTAGGTGAATTAGGGCCAGAAATCGAGAAGAAAAATTCGTCAGAACGTTCTAGAGAGGGGTTGGGGCGGCGCGCCCTAGATACACCAAGAGGGCTGGGGCAGCGCGCCTGCATTGCGCCACAAACCAGCCCCAGTAAGTGGAGGGCTGGCGCGGCGCCCCAGGGATACGCCAGGAGCGTCAGCCCACTTTTCTATCTGTCCTTCGATCAATACCTTTGAGTTGAGCTTTCATTCTTTTCTTAATCCTAGCTATCTAAACTATATTTAATCATCACAAGATCCTTCATATCATGAATCGTAACTCTTGAATTCATAATTCAAATTCAAGAAAAGATTAAGAGTAGAGTTTGAGAGAGTCGTTTGAGTTATTTTGAGAAGTCTTTTACAAACTTTTAAAACTTGTTTTTTAAGACTTGAGTACTTGAGAATGAGGATGAGGAGAGTTGAGTTATTTCTTATTTTTTATTTTTATCATCTTTATTCTTATCATTTATAAAATCTCTCCACATGTATTTAAATCTACAATGATAATTGATATTATTGTTTTTTTAAATTTTGAATTAGAATTGATTTAAAATGAATTGTCATATATATATTTTCACGTTATACTCATAACAGCATGTTGGTTGTGCTTATAACGTATTAACTTAATATAATTAATATTTAAAATAATATATTAATTATTTATATAAAATTAATTTAAAAGTTTTTAATACTAAATTCTAAAATTATTTGTCATTGTTAAGTTATACATATTTACTAAAGAATAAAATTTACACATATTTAGAAAGACTAAAGATATCTAAAAATCCATAAAATAAAAGAAGAAACTTATAGTAAATTAAAGGAGTGCAAGATGATCCATTGTTTTCATCTTTCGGTTTTTTTTTGCATTGAAAATAATTTATTTTTATGTGGTATAATATTAATTTGATAATTTATTTTATGTGGTATATATTAATTTTATTATAGTATATTTTATTTAATTGGTCACTCAAATTCAATATTTTGTACATTCCTATTTTCTGAAATTGTATTAGATTAAATAAAAATCGCCTTATTTTGCAGGATTAAACGAGAGATGAGCGTGCTAAAGTGGTTGCATCATTCTTTGTAAATTATATTTAGATTTTA